TTGTTTTCCAATTTTTATTTTTTAATTTAGTCATTCTTGCACTTCCCCACCCCTTCCTGACCCCCCCCCCACAATGCCCCTCTTGTTCCAAACTGTTCTCCTACATATAATTTATAAGCATATATTCCTTTCAAACAGTACTTCCCCTTATCTGCACTAATTCACTGTTCATTATCTGTCCACCTCTTCCTCATTCCCTCTCCAGCCCCCTAATCTCTATCTTGTTTTAGAACAGGGGTAGTGCTGGGCTTTTTTAGGAGTGGGATGAGGAAGGAGCTCAGAAGTGTTGGGCAATCTCACACTTTCCCAGGGAGGAGTTTATTCACAGGGCGGGTCACCAACACTCTCAGCTGAGTCTGATCTCACCTGAGTTCCTATTGTTACTGGGGAAGGAACTACCTCAGAGCCTCTTAGCCCTGCCTCTTCCCCCTCTATTTTTTTATCAGCATTCTGGGTTTTCCTCTTTTCTCTGGGAAGCTATAGCCTGAATGCTCTCTTTCCTGCCCTCTACTGGGAGGAAGTTGAAATCAATCCAGAGGAGACAGCAGAAGGGGAGAAAGAGGCCAAGAGGGCAAGTCTGAAAGGGAAGGAGCTGCCAGGGCTGAAACAGTACATGAGTCACAGGTATTTCTGAGTGTGTGTTTCTCTTTGAGAAGTCCTTTCCTATCTAAAGACCTAGACTCTATCTGGTTAGGGTGTTAACATGGTAGAAAAGGCTCCCTGGTCTCCCTTTCTGAATCTTGCCTCTAAATAAGAATATTTTCTCTGTTCTAAATTATCTCCAGAGTTTAATTCTACTGCTATTAATTTTCTTCCTGCTAAGACTGTAGCTTCTGGGGTTTCCTCCACTCAACTTCTCTGATATCTGTCCATTTCCAAACCACTATCTATTATGCTTTATGTATTATACCCCACTGAGAGATCTGCTGGAGTAGTCCATAGTGCTAAACCCAAGGGGGCACCTCTCTGGTGGTTACCATCTGCCAGGACTCTCTAGAAGAAAGATGGGCACTCCTTAGGGGCCCTTTATAGCCTTGGATAACCCTCTGGAGGGTCAGCTGTGAGTCCATTCAGACTCAATGGCAATGAGTTTGAGGGTTGATTTGTGTGTTTTAGTTTTGCCTCCTGTCACATTGTGTTATCTTTTGTTTTAATATATAGGATATACAGTGATGCAAGCCGAGGCTGCACAGTCTTGGCTGCATCTCTACCATTCTAGTCTAGTCCAGTTTACAGGTGAGGGTGGAAGACAGCACCGGTCCTTCCCCAGAATGTTCTGGAGCTGAGCCTAAGTCTTCAATTTCAGCTGTATGACATGACAAGTTTAGGGGAGGATTTCCCCTATTAGCTGCCACACCCGCCTCGCTGTCCTCTCTGGCCACGACGCCTGTGTGACAAAATGGGTCGTCCGTGCCTGTACGGGGTCTCTGACCTCAAGGATAGCATAAGAGGGAACCTTGCAAGCCCTGTGCTTGTGAGTGGGCTGATGCCTGGATATTTGTTACAGATGGGTCTTCGTAATCCTGGGAAACCTCTGGAAATTAAGTTGCTTCTAGGATAAGAATGGGAGTTTCTGGGGAATAATCAGGGGAACTTCACCAGAACTGGGATAAAGATTTTATTAAAGTTTTTAATCAGGAACCATTTGATGTTCCTGGAAATG